GGGGGGGGGGGTGGCCTGGGCACTTGTCCACAAGGCTCGGCGCTGCCCCGGCAACCTCCAGCATGCAAAAGCGTCCACGAGGTTTCTCCATCTGGTGCAGGTCGCCGTGAACCAGGCCCGGGGGGGGGGGGGGGGGGGGGGGGGGGTTGGGGTGGGGGGGGGCGTCAAGGTGCACGAGCGTCGAGTCACGCCCTACGAGTGGCAGGTAAAAAAGCCCGCACGGCGAAACGCGCAAAAAGGTCAGTCGCGAGCCTCTCGCGACTGACCGAGCTCATTCGACCGCCTTCGACGACTGAAGCCCGGCAAAGCTCCTGGTCTGGGCAACAGTTCCCCTCCCGCCGCCCCTCCCCCCGCCCGCCGAAACTTACTGAACACGTCTTGGATCTGGTGCACAGGACTGGCCGGCAATGTTTATTTCGCCCGAATCGTGTCGGAACACCGGCTGCCCAAACTTTCGAGAAAGGGCCAAAAAGTCATCGCGCTCCGCCCCCCCCCCAAAAAAATGGGAGGGGAGGGGGGGGGGGAAAGGAAGGAGCCAAATGTCCCTTGCTAGTTACCGGGCCCGTCTCAGTTTCTGAGTGCGTGCTTAAAGCTCTTGGAGAGATTGGACCAGGCTGGTTTCCGCCGGTGGCCCAAGTGCCTGTGACCAGGCCCTAGCCCAGACATGGGCAGAGTACCGCCCCCGGGCCGTATACGGCCCGTTGGGCTTTTTAATCCGGCCCGCCGAACTTTGTCCAAATATTATTATTAAATTAAATTTTACCTTTCTCCTGTAATGCCCCCCATTTCCCCATTAGATGGCGCACTTTGAACCGGGAGTTACGACACGTTTTTTGTATTGCTCATGTTCGTGCAATTTGTTCAATTGCCTTGCAAATAAACGCTTTGCTACCTGTTGAAGGCCAAATCATTTCATGTAATGATCTTTACGCGTCATTTATATTAGTTCACGCAAACACTGTTCCTGGAACCCATTGTGGCCCGCAAGTCAAATTTTTTTTGCCCACCCCTGCCCTAGCCACTGACAGCTTTTCTCTTATCGTCAAAGCCCCGGGCGTTCCGTTGTTCGTCCGTCACGTATGAGAGCCTTTCGGAAGGCCTGAATCAGAAAGTGATAGAAAGTCGATCCCACACCCCCCACTTCCCCCGCCCACAGAGATGGCCCTCCCAAGCCAAGTGTCGTTCCAACCCGCACAATGCCAGGGCCACCTGCGATCCCAAAACCGGCGGTGTTCCTCGGACGTCAACGTTCTCGCCTTGAGAGGAAAGCCACCAGGCCGCGGCCGCGGAACCGACTGCTGGCACCGGCCGGCCGGCCGGCTCAACGTTGGGGGGCAGGGGGGGGGCGGGGGAAGGGCGCCGGTGCGGCCGATCCCCGTCTCCGTGCGCTAACTCTGCGAGCGGGATGACCGTGACATCCGCCACTGGACTCGATCGGCTTCGCGCCAAAGTTGGTGGACGTTCGGTCGAAATGTCACCGTGAGAGAGGGCACCCCGTGGCGCGGTGAGGATGTACAACATTCCCCCCCTACCCCTTCCCCCACCCCCCCCCCCCCCCCCCCCCCACGACAATCTCACCGCTAAGCTTCGGCGGCGAAGACGCTGAGCAAGGAAAAACACGTGGCGCCCACCGGAGTTAACACCCCTCCTCCTTCATCCATAACAGGTTGTTTTTTTTTTTTTTGGAGTTAGATTGCGTGAGTATATCAATGCTGTGTCGTCAAACCCGCCACCACCCGACGCAGCCAAACCAGTGAGGTTTGTCACGTAAACGGAACGTGGCCAATTCGTTACTGAGTACAGCAACACCGGCTGTGCGTCGGAGGGCAAAGCCACAACATTTACAATCTGCAGTACCGTGAGCTTTCGCCAGTAATTGCAACCGGCTTCATCAGGACATGGGAGGGGGGGGGGGGGGTTAGCCTCTAAAGTAAAGGAGCCACGTCTATTGCGGATGACCAGGGCAGCGTCGTTGCCCGCTTCCGAACATCGATGGGGGCGAGGAGTGGGGGGGGGGGTGAGGCGTGCATCTACGTGAGTAGCGGCTCGCACCGTTGCGTCAAAGCGTGGAAGGGCCCAAGGGGGGGTCCTTGGTTGTGGGCGCGCCACCACCACCGCCGTCGGCCGTGCGATGCGTCAGGGCGTGCCGGGCCGACCGGGTCGTGACCCCCGGCGTGTGCTCGAGGAGGAGGAGGAGGAGGAGGCTGCACAGTGGCTCTGTGTGGTTGTGTGTGGTTGTGTGGCTCTGTGTGGCTCTGTGTGGCTCTGTGTGGCTGTGTGCGTGGCTGTGTGGCTGTGTGTGTGGCTGTGTGGCTCTTTGTGGTTGTGTGGCTCTGTGTGGCTCTGTGTGGCTCTATGTGGTTGTGTGTGGCTGTGTGGTTTGAGGGCTGTGTGTGTGTGTGTGGCTCTGTGTGGTTGTGTGTGTGGCTCTGTGTGTGGCTCTGTGTGTGGCTCTGTGTGGCTCTGTGTGGCTCTGTGTGGTTGTGTGTGGCTCTGTGTGGTTTGAGGGCTCTGTGTGGCTGTGTGGCTCTGTGTGGCTCTGTGTGGTTGTGTGTGGCTCTGTGTGTGGCTCTGTGGCTCTGTCTGGTTGTGTGTGGCTCTGTGTGGTTGTGTGTAGTTGTGTGGCTCTGTGTGGCTCTGTGTGGCTCTGTGTGTGGCTCTGTCTGGTTGTGTGTGGCTCTGTGTGGTTGTGTGTGTGGCTCTGTGTGGTTGTGTGTAGTTGTGTGGCTCTGTGTGGCTCTGTGTGGCTCTGTGTGTGGCTCTGTGTGGCTGTGTGGCTCTGTGTGGTTGTGTGTAGTTGTGTGGCTCTGTGTGGCTGTGTGGCTCTGTGTGGCTGTCTGGCTCTGTGTGGTTGTGTGTGGCTCTGTGTAGCGGTGTGGCTGTGTGTGGCTGTGTGGTTGTGTGTGGCTGTGTGTGGCTGTGTGGTTGTGTGTGGGTGTGTGTGGCTCTGCGTAGTTGTGTGGCTCTGTGTGGCTCTGTGTGGTTGTGTGGCTCTTTGTGGCTCTGTGTGGCTCTGTGTGTGGCTGTGTGATTGTGTGTGGCTGTGTGTGGCTGTGTGTGGCTCTGGGTGGTTGTGTGTGGCTCTATGTGGATGTGTGGCTCTGTGTGTGTGTGTGTGGCTGTGTGTGGCTGTGTGTGGCTCTGGGTGGTTGTGTGTGGCTCTGTGTGGATGTGTGGCTCTGTGTGTGTGTGTGGTTGTGTGTGGTTGTGTGGCTGTGTGGTTCTGTGTGGTTCTGTGTGGTTGTGTGGCTGTGTGGCTCTGTGTGTGGCTCTGTGTGTGGCTCTGTGTGGTTGTGTGTGGCTGTGTGTGATTGTGTGTGGCTCTGTGTGTGGCTCTGTGTGTGTGTGGTTGTGTGTGGCTCTGTGTGGCTCTGTGTGGTTCTGTGTGGCTGTGTGTGGTTGTGTGGTTGTGTGGCTCTGTGTGTGTGTTGTGGGGGGGGGGCGCCACGCGGACTTCAAACTCAAATAAACATTCGCTTGTAGGTCTACACATTTTGAATAAATGTATCTCGGTGTTTTGACCGTGGGAGGGCGCGTGAGTTAGCATTAGATATATAATAAAGCAGCACGCCACACCGCACGGCTCACAACACACACCACGTCTCACCATACCACGTCTCACCACACACCACACACAACGTCTCACCACACACTACACACCACGTCTCACCACACACCACGTCTCACCACGTCTCACCACACACCACGTCTCGCCGCATCTCACCACACCCCTGGCCAAAGCCCCCTCAAACCACTACAACCACAACAACAACCACAACAACAACCACAACAACAACAACCACAACAACAACCGCAACAACAACCACAACAACAACCACAACAACCACAACAACAACCACAACAACAACCACAACAACAACCACAACAACAACCACAACAACAACAACCACAACAACAACCACAACCACAACCACAACAACAACCACAACAACAACCACCACAACAACAACCACAACAACCACCACAACAACAACCACAACAACAACAACCACAACAACTCATCATGTTTGGGTCTTCCGGTAAAGTCACGTCGATGAGTTAAAAGAAAATAACAAAAAAAACCGACGACGTCGACGTTCCAATCGCAACGCAAGGGATCGTCATCTCTCTCAACCCACCCGCTGTCCCTGTTGCTTTCGGTAAAGTCACGTAGATAGAAAATAAAAATAAATTACAAGTAAAAATTTATTTACAAATACAAATACATTAGAAATACAAATAAAATACGAATAAATTACAAATGCAAATAGAAATACGAATAAATTACAAATAAAATTAAAATAAATTAAAAATACGAAAAATTTACAAATGCAAGTAAAAAAATGAGAAATACAAAAATACGAACAAATTAAAAATACAAATAAAAACGCGATTAGATGAGAAACACAAATAAAATTAAATTAAATTGGGAAATACAAAACACGAACAAATTAAAACATACAAATAAAAACGCGAACAGAGGAAAAACAAAAATAAAAAATTTTGAAAAAAAATTGTAAAAAGAAGAGCAACGAAAACCCCACGACGTTTCGATCGCGACACAGGCGGCCTCCATCAGGAGGACGAGAGAGACGACGGCCAGGTGCGTGGTTCTCGGCTACTTTGCTTTGAACCCATCGAGGCGACTTCACCGAGAGACTAAGAAGAAGAATTCCTGCAGTCAAGAAAGCTTCAAGTCGACCACCACAACAACTGAACTCATCCCTCGCCTGACCATCAAAAAATATAACTTTGTTTTGATTTAAAGCTTTCGTGACTGCAATAATTCATATTCTTAGCTCTTTCGGTAAAGTCACGTTGAAGGGAAACAATAAAATAAGAAAATATATATTTAATTATTTTATAAGAAAATACATATTTTATTATTTTTACCGAAAGAGCTAAGATTATATAACTTTGTTTTTTTTTTAAAGGTGACATCTCACCCACACAGAGCGCAAAACTCACCACACCTCTCCCGCCTCACCACGCCAACTCACCAACCCCTGTCCGCTCGGGTGAGCCATCAGGGAAAGAGGTCCTTCACGAGGCTCCGCCTGGCCAAGGGCGACGAGGACGAGGTGGTGGACGAGGTGGTGGACGAGCTGGTGGACGAGCTGGTGGACGAGCTGGTGGACGAGCTGGTGGACGAGGTGGTGGACGAGCTAAAGGAAGACTTGGTCGAGATTGCGAGCCTCTCCTCTGTCTCTCTCTCTCACACCTGTACCTGTGTGTGTCTCTCTCTCTCTCTCGCGTACCGGTACCTGTACCTGTGTGTCTCTCTCTCGTACCTGTGTGTCTCTCTCTCTCTCGTACCGGTACCTGTCTCTCTCTCTCTCTCGTATCTGTACCTGTGTGTGTCTCTCTCTCTCTCTCTCTCGTACCTGTGTGTCTCTCTCTCTCTCTCGTACCTGTGTGTCTCTCTCTCTCACACCTGTACCTGCGTGTGTGTCTCTCTCTCTCACACCTGTACCTGTGTGTGTGTGTCTCTCTCTCTCACACCTGTACCTGCGTGTGTGTCTCTCTCTCTCACACCTGTACCTGTGTGTGTGTGTCTCTCTCTCTCACACCTGTACCTGCGTGTGTGTCTCTCTCTCTAGCCCGCACCTCACACCTGGGCGCATAAACCCGCCCACTCCTCTGCCGCCCTCCTCCTCTCTCCCCCCCTCTCCTCTCCCCCCCCCCCTCTCCTCTCCCCCCCCTCTCCTCTCCCCCCCCTCTCCTCTCCCCCCCCTCTCCTCTCCCCCCCTCTCCCCTCCCCCCCCTCTCCCCTCCCCCCCCTCTCCCCTCCCCCCCCTCTCCCCTCCCCCCCCCTCTCCCCTCCCCCCCCCCCTCTCCCCTCCCCCCCCCCTCTCCCCTCCCCCCCTCTCTCCTCTCCCCCCCTCTCCTCTCCCCCCCTCTCCTCTCCCCCCCTCTCCTCTCCCCACTCTCTCCTCTCCCCGCCCTCTCCTCTCCCCCCTCTCTCCTCTCGGACCCCCCCTCTCTCTTCGCCCCTCCTCCCTCTCTCCGCCCCTCACTTCACTCTTCGCCCCTCTTCTTCATCCCCTCCTCCTACCCCCCTAAGTCACTCGCGGGGCCCCAGCATGCAGGGTGACCCCCTAGTCAATGAGGGGGGGGGGGGGGTCACGTGTCGTTGGGGGTGCATGAGGCCACGTGGTGGTGGTGGTTGTGGTTGTGGGGGGAGCGGTGGCCCAGCCGGTTAGAGTTGGTGGACGAGTTGGTGGGTGGGTGCGTAGGTGGGTGGGTGAGTTGGTGGGTGAGTGTGTGGGTGGATGGGTGAGTTGGTGGGTGATTGTGAAGGTGGGTGGGTGAGTTGGTAGGTGGTTGGGTGAGTTGGTAGGAGGGTGGGTGAGTTGGTAGGTGGGTGGGTGAGTTGGTAGGTGAGTTGGTGGGTGAGTTGGTGGGTGGGTGGGTGTGTAGGTGGGTGTGTGGGTGAGTTGGTGGGTGAGTTGGTGGGTGAGTTGGTGGGTGGGTGTGTAGGTGGGTGGGTGAGTTTGTGGGTGGGTGAGTTGGTAGGTGAGTTGGTGGGTGAGTTGGTGGGTGAGTGTGTAGGTGGGTGGGTGAGTAGGTAGGCGAGTTGTTGCGTGAATGTGTGGGTGGGTGGTTGTGTAGGTGGGTGGGTGTGTAGGTTGGTGAGTTGGTGGGTGAGTGTGTGGGTGAGTGTGTGGGTGAGTTGGTGGGTGAGTTGGTGGGTGAGTTGGTGGGTGAGTTGATGGGTGGGTGAGTGTGTAGGTAGGTGGGTGGGTGAGTGTGTGGGTGGGTGAGTTGGTAGGTGAGTTGGTGGGTGAGTGTGTACGTGGGTGGGTGAGTTGGTGGGTGAGTTGGTGGGTGAGTGGGTGAGTTGGTGGGTGGGTGAGTTGGTGGGTGAGTTGGTGTGTGGGTGGGTGAGTTGGTGGGTGAGTGTGTGGGTGAGTTGGTGGGTGAGTTGGTGTGAGTTGGTGTGTGAGTGTGTGGGTGAGTTGGTGGGTGAGTTGGTGGGTAAGTTGGTGGGTGAGTTGGTGGGTGAGTTTGTGGGTGGGTGTGTAGGTGGGTGGGTGAGTTGGTGGGTGGGTGTGTAGGTGGGTGGGTGAGTTGGTGGGTGGGTGAGTTGGTGGGTGGGTGAGTTGGTGGGTGGGTGAGTTGGTGGGTGAGTTGGTGGGTGGGTGAGTTGGTGGGTGGGTGAGTTGGTGGGTGGGTGAGTTGGTGGGTGGGTGGGTTGGTGCGTGGGTGTGTAGGTGGGTGGGTGTGTAGGTGGGTGGGTGAGTTGGTGGGTGGGTTGGTGGGTGGGTGTGTAGGTGGGTGGGTGTGTAGGTGGGTGGGTGAGTTGGTGGGTGGGTGAGTTGGTGGGTGGGTGAGTTGGTGGGTGGATGTGTAGGTGGGTGGGTGAGTTGGTGGGTGGGTGGGTGAGTAGGTGGGTGGGTGTGTAGGTGGGTGGGTGAGTTGGTGGGTGGGTGTGTAGGTGGGTGAGTAGGTGGGTGGGTATGTAGGTGGGTGGGTGAGTTGGTGGGTGGGTGTGTAGGTGGGTGTGTAGGTGGGTGGGTGTGTAGGTGGGTGGGTGGGTAGGTGGGTGGGTGAGTTAATGGGTGGGTGTGTAGGTGGGTGGGTGAGTTGGTGGGTGGGTGTGTAGGTGGGTGGGTGAGTTGGTGGGTGGGTGAGTTGGTGGGTGGGTGAGTTGGTGGGTGGGTGAGTTGGTGGGTGGGTGAGTTGGTGGGTGGGTGAGTTGGTGGGTGGGTGTGTAGGTGGGTGGGTGAGTTGGTGGGTGGGTGTGTAGGTGGGTGGGTGAGTTGGTGGGTGGGTGAGTTGGTGGGTGGGTGAGTTGGTGGGTGGGTGAGTTGGTGGGTGGGTTGGTGGGTGGGTGAGTTGGTGGGTGGGTGAGTTGGTGGGTGGGTGAGTTCGTGGGTGAGTTGGTGTGTGGGTGAGTTCGTGTGTAGGTGAGTTGGTGGGTGGGTGAGTTGGTGGGTGGGTGGGTTGGTGCGTGGGTGTGTAGGTGGGTGGGTGTGTAGGTGGGTGGGTGAGTTGGTGGGTGGGTGGGTTGGTGGGTGGGTGTGTAGGTGGGTGGGTGTGTAGGTGGGTGGGTAAGTTGGTGGGTGGGTGAGTTGGTGGGTGGGTGAGTTGGTGGGTGGGTGTGTAGGTGGGTGGGTGAGTTGGTGGGTGGGTGGGTGAGTAGGTGGGTGGGTGTGTAGGTGGGTGGGTGAGTTGGTGGGTGGGTGTGTAGGTGGGTGAGTAGGTGGGTGGGTGTGTAGGTGGGTGGGTGAGTTGGTGGGTGGGTGTGTAGGTGGGTGTGTATGTGGGTGGGTGTGTAGGTGGGTGGGTGGGTGTGTAGGTGGGTGGGTGAGTTGGTGGGTGGGTGTGTAGGTGGGTGGGTGAGTTGGTAGGTGGGTGTGTAGGTGGGTGGGTGAGTTGGTGGGTGGGTGAGTTGGTGGGTGGGTCTGTAGGTGGGTGGGTGAGTTGGTGGGTGGGTGTGTAGGTGGGTGTGTAGGTGGGTGGGTGTGTAGGTGGGTGGGTGGGTGTGTAGGTGGGTGGGTGTGTAGGTGGGTGGGTGGGTGTGTAGGTGGGTGGGTGAGTTGGTGGGTGGGTGTGTAGGTGGGTGGGTGAGTTGGTGGGTGGGTGTGTAGGTGGGTGGGTGAGTTGGTGGGTGGGTGAGTTGGTGGGTGGGTGTGTAGGTGGGTGGGTGAGTTGGTGGGTGGGTGAATGTCGTCTTTTTTGTTTCTAAATAGCGCGCTTCGACATCGAGCGAATTGACTCGCCGATTCATCCACTCGCTGGCTCACGAACTCACTCCACCACACGGCTGCTGATGATGATGATGACACTGCTGCTGCTGATGATGATGACACTGCTGCTGCTGATGATGATGACACTGCTGCTGCTGATGATGATGATGACACTGCTACTGCTGCTGATGATGATGCTGCTACTGCTGCTGATGATGATGACACTGCTGCTGCTGATGATAATGACACTGCTACTGCTGCTGATGATGATGACACTGCTACTGATGATGACACTGCTACTGATGATGATAACACTGGCACTGATGATGATGACGCTACTGATGATGATGATGATGACACTGCTACTGATGATGATAATGACACTGCTACTGATGATGATGATGACACTGCTGCTGATGACGCTGCTGCTAATGATGATGATGACACTGCTACTGATGATGATGATGGCACTGCTACTGATGATGATGATGATGACACTGCTACTGATGATGATGACGCTGCTGCTGCTGATGATGACGCTGCTGCTGCTGATGATGATGACACTGCTGTTGCTGATGATGATGACGCTGGTGATGATGATGATGGGCCACTTTCGTGGACTGTAGGAATTCATATTCTTGTTTTTTTCGGTAAAGTCACGTAGATAGAATTTTTTTAAAATTAAAAATACAAATAAATGACAAATAAAATACAAACAAATTTAAAATACAAATAGATTAAAAATTTAAATAAGTTTAAAATAAATGTAATAATTTAATAAAATAAGAATAAATGTAAAATTATAATAAATTAAAGCCAAAAAAACCCACGACGTTTCGATCGCAACACAAGCGGCCTTCATCAGGCTTAATAGCTCAGTGGGCTGGTAAAAATGTTCGAAGATAGTTTGGTGAAATCGGTGACTTAAAGCTTTCGTGACTGCAGGAATTTAAAACTCTTAGGTTACAGATTTAACCCATCTCCGTGACTTTACCGAAAGACCCAAAGAATATGAATAAGGAGGTGTGGGGCTGGGTGGGGAGGGGCTGATCACCCCGTGGTGCCCTTATAAAACTCAACGTTTAACCTACTCACGCCAGGCTTGTGCCCGCCCTCACAGTCGGGCATATTTGCGGAACACACCACGTGGTGCCGCCGTTGACCCTGGCCATTGACCGAGCAACCCAACGTTCCTACCAGCTCCCTCCCTCCGCAGGAGAATGTGTTTCTAAACACGTGGCGGTGATTGTTGATTCTAACCATGATCCGTGTTTCTTTCGGTTAAGTCGTGTAGAAAGAAAATTAATTAAGTAATAGAGCACGACGTTTCGATTGCAACACATGCAACCGTCATCAGGTAGAACCACATTTAAGAGAGGGACAAAAACACAGACACGGAGACTCACAGACAGACACACAAGCAGAGAGAGACACAACACAGAGACACAGAGAGAGAGAGAGAGGCACAACAGACAGAGAGACAACACAGAGACACACAGAGAGAAACACACAACATAGACACACAGAGACAACACAGAGACACACAGAGAGAAACACACAACATAGACACAGAGACAACACAGAGACACACAGAGAGAGACACACAACAT